TATATATATATATGTACATGAATTTGGAATCCTGGTGTGGCACTGTAGGTTAATGCACTGGACTGTTAAATAGGTTTGATCTGCAAGGTTGGTGGTTAAAGCTCACTAGCTGTTCCTTGGAATCCCCCTATACAGGGTCTCTATGGGGTGGAACTGATTTAATGTCATTTAACAACAACAACATAATAATAAATATATATGTTGCTGTTAAGTGCTGTTGGCTAGTGGGTTTGAGCCACCACAGACCTTGTTGTGCCCCACTAAGACTGCATATATAAATGCTTCCTAAGTATAAAACATTTTGTCTCAAATTATTGCTATCAATGAAAAACTTGATCACTGATATTTATGTATACATAGAAGCATATGTATGTATATATATTTGTATAATCATGATTCCCTCTGGACATTTCAAACTCAACAGTAATTCTTTTAATAAATGGGCTTTTTATAATAATATATATGTCTTATTGGAATACTGGTGTGACGCTGTAGGAACAGCACTGGACTTTGAACCACAAGGTAATCAGTTCAATCCCACCAGATGCTTATCGGAAACCTTGTACAGAATGGCTGTGAGTCAGAAAGCACTTAACAGCAACGTATATTTCATTATCTTCATATCCATTGATAAAGGGGGATATTTAAACCCAGTTTATGGATTAAGAGCTGCAGAGGTGAAATCCTTGAGCATAATTATACAACTAGTGAATAGTGTGACGTGGGAAGTCAATACTGGTTGCTCTTTGCCTAAAGTTATATTCTCTCCCCCATGCAAATGACCTTCCCTACCTCAGAAAGGGATTTTAGTTAAAGGGAGGCATTCTGCATGAGATGATATTGAGCATGACTTAAATAATTAAAATCAAATTACAAAGTTATTGTGTCATTTCATAATACATTTATTTATGTATGAAATAAGTATAAAACCATTTAAAAAAATAATTACTGTTGATTTTGAAATGATCAGTGTGAATCGCAATTATATCACACACATACACGTTTTTATGTGTATATAGCATATGTATGTATATATGTTTGTGTAATCGTGATATCAATAACCAATTCTTTCATTAATAGCAATCATTTGAGACAAAATGTTTTATACTTGGAATGCATTTATATATTTCAAAACATGAAATAATGAAGTTGAAAAACTCCATATTTAATCAAGTATAGAGCACCTCTACACTTGAGGGCACCTAACAGCAACAACAACAACCTGGATTAGAGATCCTTGGTGCAGCGCTTTAGAAGAAGCACTGTCGGGCTAACCTGGAGGTCTGCAGTTGAAACCTATCAGCTGTTCTTTGAAAACCTATACAGTGTTGGAACCAACTCTGTGGCACACAACACCAATAATACCTAAGTTAGAAGGAGCCTTGGTGCTGCAGTGGTTAAGTGCTCATGTTCTAATCACAAGATTTGGAGTTTGTACATATCAGCAGCTCCAGGAGAGAGAGCTGACAGTCTTAAAGAAACCTTTTGGTGTAGCTCTATTTTGTCCTATAGGATTGCTGTCAGTCTGAAATGTTTATTTATTTTTTTGCACTTTTGGATGTCAGTTGTGGTCATTGTTGTTGTTGTCATAATTGTTGTTGTTGTTAAGTGCCACTGAGTCAGTTCCAACTCAGAGTTAACCTGTATATGGTTTCTGAGGTGAGGCTGGTGAGTTTGAACTGCCAATCTCGTAGTTAAAACAGATCTTGCGGTTTAGTGCATAATCCCACAGCACCATGGTTTAATTTCAGTTTTAGCAGTTATAGTTTAAAGATTATGATTAAAAGTTGATTGTTGTTGTTAAATGCTGTTGAGTCAGTTCCAACTCATAATAGCTGAGTATAGGGTTTCCAAGAAGCAGCTATGGGTTTGAACTGCCAACCTTTGGGTTAGCAGTTCAGTGCTTATCCTACAGTGCCACATCAGGACTCCTATTTCTCTTATAAGTGAAATTGTATTTTGTGATAAGCAAGACTGCTAAAGAACTCTTTAGGTTTTAAAGAAATGACTGGAAGAATACAGTGTCATAATATTTCTTGAATAAGAAGATGTATGGTCATAAATTAGGTAAAGGCTGAAAATAAAACATATCAAAATGATACTTGAACAACTTAAGAGTTCTTACTATCTGTTTGATGTTTTACTGGTGTGATCTTTCTTCCTAACTTTGAATTCAGTGCTATGTATTATTGTGCTTTATATTAATGACTTTAGTGTTTGAGTATTATACGTTTTAATTTATATGACTTATAAAGGCTACACAGGAACAACTTGAAACTTATTAATTTATGATTCGTTCACCTTCTTTCTCAGGTGGACCTTTTCCAGAAGATTTTTCAATATTATTCACAGTAAAACCCAAAAAGGGCATTCAGTCCTTTCTTTTATCTATATATAATGAACATGGTATTCAGCAAATTGGTGTTGAGGTTGGGAGATCACCTGTTTTCCTGTTTGAAGACCACAATGGAAAACCTGCCCCAGAAGACTATCCCCTTTTCAGAACTGTTAACATCGCAGATGGGAAGTAAGTGACCCAAGCAAGAGTAAAAATAATAGAGTGGTAAAGAATCATAGAGCAGGCAATAGCAGGAGCTGGGCCAATTTTAAGCCTAGAGACCAGGGAAAATCTCACGGAGGTGCTCTATGATGAAAGATCTGAAGGAGGTAGGAACCATATCTTACTGATATTTGAGCAAAAACCACTCTACAGGAGAAAAATGTAGCAATCTGACTCATTAATATTGCAGCATGAGAAACCATGTGGGGCAATTCTACTGCCTTATAAGGTCGCTATGAGTTGCAATTACCTTGAAAGCAATGAGTTTTGTTGCTTTTTGGTAGGGTTTATGAGTAGAAGGAGTTGGGCTGCTAACCTCAAATTTGAATCTATCAGCTGCTCTGAGGGAGAAATATGGGGTTTTCTGGTCTCGTAAAGATGTGTAGCCTCAAAAACCCTGTAAAGGTAGTTATGAGTAGGAACTGACTACACAACAAATCACCACCACCACCATAAGTAGAAGCATGATCCATTCTAGCCATTTACTAATAACATTAATGATGAAGATCTTAGGAAACATTATATAATACTTGCTTGCAGTATTTCATTTTACACACTTTATACATATTTAAGTTGTTTGCATTTTCACAACTCTTTGATGAAAATAATGCCAACAAATCTATTTTCAAAATAAGGGCTCTGAGGTACAGAGAATTTAAATAAATTGTCTGAAAGCAACAGAGACAGGAATTGAACTCAGGCAGGCTGGCCCTATGGTAGTCACTATATATTTCTGAAAATCATGCAGGATATTATGTTGAGAATAGAAGCAGGAGGCAAGAGTTAAAAAAAATAAGAAGAGTTAGGATACTCCTGCAGTAATTTTGGTAAGGTATAATAATGGCTTGTACCAAGATGCTAGTGATTGCATATGAATTTAATACACACCTAAAATAGTTCTAATTTTTAAACTCAAATTTCGTTTAGAAAGTTCTTAGATATATCTGTATGTTGCATCTTTTTTCTTTAAGTAAAAGTATTATATATTGTTACATTAGATTATATACATCATATATGCTGCTGTTGAGTGCTGTCAAGTCAGTTTTGACTCAAAACGACTTTGTATAGGATTTCCGAGGAGAGGCTGATAGGTTTGAACCACCTACCTTAACAGCCAGTGCTTATCCTATTCAGTGACACACCAGGATTCTGTACATTATATTGTTGTTAAGTGCTGTGGTGTCAGTTATGATTCATAGCAATTCTGCATAGGGTTTCCCGAAGATCAGCTTGTGGGTTTGAACTGCTGACCTTGTGGTTAGCAGTCAAGGGCTTATCCCACAGCACTACACCAGGAATCTAATTATTATATTATTGCTGTTGTTAAGTGCCGTTGTGTTGGTTCTGACCACTGTTTAAGGTTTCTGAGGAGCAGCTAGTGAACTTGAACCGCTGACCTTGCGGTTAAAACGATTTTGCCTTCCAGCATATTAACCCACAGCACCACACCAGAACCCCATTTATTATATTATTGTTGTTGTTATATGCTGTGGAGTGGGTTCCGACTCATAGAGACCCTGTACAGGGTTTCCAAGGCTGTAAATCATTGTGGGAGCAGAAAGTCTCATTTTCTCCCGTGGAAGAGTTTCTAACTGCTGACCGTGAGATTAGCAGCCTGATTCGTAACCACTATGCTACCAGAGCTCCTTATTTATTATATTAGAAGACAGTTAAAAACAAAAGAAAGAGGAAAAAAAAGGAAATTGCTTTCTTTATTTTTGTCTGTTTATTTTTTCATGTACTTAGAAGGGAGCCGCCTACCTTAGCAGTCCAGTGCTTATCCTACAGTGACACACAAGGATTCCATACATTCTGTTGTTGTTAAGTGCCGTTGAGTTGGTTCCAACCCATAGCCACCCTGTACAGGGTTTCTGAAGAGTGGCTGTTGAGCTTGAACTCAAACTGATCTTGTAGTCTGGCACATTAGCCCGCAGCGCCACACCAGAATTCCAGAAGGGAAACAGTGTATATTTATTTTCTCATTAGAACAAACCAATGGGAACTTTACTGCAAATGAAAAAAAAAAAGGGAAAAGAATGTAGGAGGTAAAAAAAAAAGAAAGAAAAGAAAGAAAGAAAAAAAAACCCTTTGGAAATGGATAGTGGTGATAGTTGTGCAACATGGGGAGTGCCTTTGGTGTGGCTGGACTGTACACCTAAAAATGGTTGAGGTGGCAATTGTTTTGTTGTATATTGTATATTGCTACAGTAAAAAAAGAGTAAATGTATGTTTTATAAAAAGTCTACGTAATGGAGACCCAAAAAATACCATTGCCTAAAAAGTCCTAAACCTTTTTAATCATGTTTCCCGAAAAGACCTGAGCCCAACCCTGCAAATACTAAGCCTTCCTGATCCAGATCCTAAAACTGCCTTAAATTGGTCTGTAATATCTAAACCTGCTTGAATTAGGCCATTAGGGAAAAAAAAAAAAAAAAGAGTTTCATGGTATTTATCCTAGAGAGTCATCTATTCTAAGAGGATCCAGGTAGTTTGGGTATTTATAGGAATCTGAGTTTCATTCAGCTTTTTTTTTCTCCTATGCTAGCTAGAATCATCTATTGTACCCTGAGCCAGATTTGATGGTAGCTGGGCATCATCTAGTACTTCTGGTCTCAGAGTAGTTGAGGTCGTGGCTTATGTAAACTATAAGCCCTGTAGATTTGTTCCTTCCTTGTGATTTTGATTACCTTTTTACTTGTTTGCTACTGAGGTTTAGAGACCAATAGTTGTATCTTAGATGACTGCTTGCAAGTTTTAAAACTCCCAGGCACTGCTTACTTTGCTAAAATGCAGAACATGAATTTTATGATGATATTATTTTTTAAAAAAGATTATCTTGGTAATCTAATTATAAATAAAACACAGTAACCTAATTTGTTTAAATACAGTAAGAATAATGTCTGTCATCAGAATTAAAATGTCCACATATAAAAATAAATTTTGTAAACATTGCCTTTATTTAACCTGTTGCCATTAAGTGCCGTCAAGTCAGTCCATTTCATAGCAAACCCGTGGAGGGTTCTGAAGAAATGGCTTGTTAAATTTTTTGATATTTTATGGCTGAATCTAAATTTCTAAAAAGAGACAGTTTTTTAGAAATATGAATTTTGGTTATATGCAAGATGCAACTAGCTGCGTAGATGGCAAAAGATATCCACTCAGCATAATTTTGTCATGATTAATGACAAAATCCTCAAATGCCAAGAAAATCCTGGCTTTCATAAAAAATTCATATTATCATTTTATGAACAAATAAAATGCTGTAACTGGCTGCATTTCTTACTTTGACCATTACCAAATATCAAACTAAAATTTTAGTCTGGGTGATTGGTTAGTAAATATTTTTGATGAATTATCGAACAGAAATATAGGTCAAACTATATTTATAATGTCTCACAGTGGTCAGATGTTATTTTGACAATATCTTGAATAAAATCAATAGATGATAATAATATTTATTTATTTATTCTTTCAATAATGATTTATAAAATTCTAATTGCATGCCCTGGTGTGGCACCATAGGATAAGCAGTCAATCATAAGGCTGGTTTGAACTGTGAAGTCGGTGGTTCAAACTTACCAGCTGCTTCCTAGAATCCATATACATGGTCACTATGAGTCAGAACCAACTCAGTAGCATTTAACAACAACTGTAAGTCAGGCACTATACAGGCACTATGTATGCGCTAAGGTGCTCTGGTAGCATAGTGATTACAAGTCAGGCTGCTAATCTCACAGTCAGAAATTCAAAACTACCAGTGGTTCTGATGGAGAAAGATGAGGCTTTCTGCTCCCATAAAGATTTACAGCCTCAAAAACCCTATAGAGGATCACTATGAATCAAAACCAATTCCATGGCACATAACCACTACCATACTATGCACTGTTGCATAGGAACAATCCTATGAGGCAGGGTTGGCTTCTACTGTGAGTATTAGATGATTTTTAGCAGGCTAGAGACTTGATCCAATATATTTTTCAATGGTTTCTCTGCTTACTCTGAGAAGAACAAATTTGTAAATTTTAAGAGTACAAAAATGAAACTAAAGAGACTAGTTAATAGTCTAGGTGAGAAGGATGGAGACTTGGATTAAGCTGAGAGACATTTAAGTTTATATATGCTTTGAATGTAAGAACTGGTGAAATTTTCTGAGCATCTGAATGTGTGGTCTTAGAGAAACAGAATAAATAGAAATGAATCTGAAACTAAATGTTAATTTAGTGTTTTGACTACCTATTTTGTATATGATACTGTAATTCTTATCTATCATTATAAATATACAGGTGTAAATTAATTCAGTAAAAATATAATGTTGAGGATACTATTTGACTTTTGATACTGAAATTATTTTTCTTTTTTTGTTGAAGAAAATCACATACCTAAAATGCTGGGTATAATTTAAGACATAGACTCCTTAGTAGGAATATGTGTAAATTTTACTGTCACTTTACTAGGTAGTTCTTTGTGTAAGTCTTTGCTCTATATAAACCTAGCAGTTGTTTGTCAATGAAAAGACCAAAGACTAAGTGTATATAGAATTATACTTGGCCTCTATCAGTCGTCAGGCCAAGTCAAATGAATTAGACCATATAGGTAGATTCCTGCAATGTTTTGGGTACTTTATTTTATTAATCTAGCCCTACACACTTCTGGAATATTAACCTAACAGTTTTAATTTGGAAAAAATACATATATAGCCAAATTAGCCTCACTGACCTGCAAAATCCAAGTGAGCTTCACTTCCTGGTTTTTGTTAGAACCAACTACTGTTAACAAAACCAACTATTTTACAATATGGTTAGGGTATATATGTTTCCAAAAGAGCTATACCTATCATCAATGCCCTAAATTAGCTGCAAAGTGAATTGAGACTCTCACTCCACACATGCGTCAACTACACTTTATTTCACAGTGTCTCTACTTCTGCCAACCCTGGAAAGGAGAGATATTATGTCTTGGTCTTGGATCTTGCCCACAGTAGTGATCTATGACTGTCTTGAAATTAAAGTGGAAAAAGAAAATGAAAGGACTTGAAATAATGTGAATAAAGACAGAGAAGCACATTGTAGTTTTCAATTAGAGTTGCTGCAGTTGGAGTAGTCATTGAGTTACGAGACATACTGTTTTACAGTCAATCTCAGGGGATCACTAAGGCAGAATTTTTTAAGTGGAATTCCACTTTGGATGAAAGCATTTACGTACATGGAAACTATTACATACTCCATATCCCACCCTAATCGCTATCAAATACCCTCATCAGGACATGGTGAGATTAAGCCTTTGTTGCTTCAACACAAAGTAAAGCAAAGGATGGGGACTTCCCTATCAACATAGGCAGTTGATCTTTTTGTGCATCTTGCACTGTTGTGTCTCTTTAAGTATCTAGCACTGTGATAGGTAAGCATAAGTGATCACTTGTTAACAGATTGATTAATAAATGAGCCTTCATTTTAATAACAATTTTAGCTAACTTTTATGATTCAAAATAACCCAATATTTCTATATGGTTAATGATTTGGCAATCAGCATCTTTGCAGCTTACAAAAGAATCGCTTGGCCTTTTTTAGGTGGCATCGGGTAGCAATCAGCGTAGAGAAGAAAACTGTGACAATGATTGTTGATTGTAAGAAGAAAACCACAAAACCACTTGATAGAAGTGAGAGAGCAATTGTTGACACCAATGGAATCACGGTTTTTGGAACAAGGATATTGGATGAAGAAGTTTTTGAGGTAAAAATAAACAAAGCTTTCCTGTAAGTTGAACGTTATTAAATCAGGTGAACTGCATTCATACCAGTGACAATCAGTATGTGTTACAAAGTAAAGGTGAAACATTCTAAAATGTGACTTACTGTCTTCCCCTGTGGGTGTAGTGGTGATGTTTTCTATTGTTCAGTAAAAGAATGATGAGATGATGAGACTAATGCCTGGGAAACAATTACAAATATCCACTGATTTGAACGCAAGAGTGTTATTCTCCTGGGAAGGGCAAATGACTTTACTTGTGCTTTTTTGGAGAAAAGAATATTTTCTTCACTGCCTTCTCTGGGATATTAATTTAGAGAAATATAAAAGTCAGATATATTACATATTTCTTCTCATTGCCAATGTTTCCAAGGTAAAGCTGACACCAGACTGCAAAAGATGAACTTTTTGTTTTTGAAATCAAATTTTTTTTTTTTGCTTTTTAATAATGTGAATGTTTTATAGCTCCGTGGTAAAATATTTTCTTCCAATTTTATTTCATCAGTTATAATAATCACATTCTTATAGTCATTGGACTGGATAACTCGTGTTTTAATTTTTATTTAATTATTAACAAAGCAAAAAGCTCTGATCCTGACACCAGGAATGCTCTCCTGACACATTATTAATTACCATGGTAGTTATTTATATAGAATTTCTGGATAATTCATTTTGAAATCTGCTATAGATTAATAGATATGCTTTACATGGAATAGTTGCTATATTTTGTTCATGTGAATATCTATATACACATCATACATGTATATATGTGTGATGGTATGGCGCTGCCGGTTAATGCAGTAAACTGCAAAGTCTGTTTGGGCCATAAAGGCCAGAAGTTCCAACTCAGCAGCTGCTCCTCGAAAACCCTGTACAGTGTACAGGGTCGCTATGAGTCGCTATTGAGGCTCCTGACTCAATGGCACTTAGCAATAACATGTATATAAGGCACAAGGGAACTTACATTATCTTTCAATTCAATTTTTCGATTAACTTTTTGAAGCTCTTATATATATATTCACAAATCCCTGGCATATTTTCATATAAAAACACTATAAATTCAGAGCAACATTTAGACTATTTGTGATACTATTTGTTTCTTATTTTCTCCACTGATGTGTACATATATATTTGTATGTATAATATTTTGGTCAATTACATTAAACTAAATGATAGAATGTTTCAGGCAATATTCAAGAGGGTGTCATATTAATTCCACTAATATAAAAATGGAATTAAAAGATAATGTAATTTTTCCATAAAATTTTATAAACCCATTCATATAATAATAATATACTTTCAGATTTTGCAGTGTTTGACATTAGTTGCACACAAAAGGGTACAATATGTATGTGTATATTATGTGGGAGAATATAAGTAAACACATTAATACAATCTCTAGTTTTGCAAAGTTCTATTTCAAGCTAAAATTATTTGTAAATATCAGTTTCACAGGATAACTTTTATTTCATAACCTTCACAATCATATTTACTAGGACCATAAATGAGTTGTTGTTGTTAGGTGCCATCGAGTTGATACCCCATAGCGAATTTATGCACAGCAGAACAAAACAATGCCCAATCCTGGGCCAGCCTCACTACTGTTGCCACGCTTGAGTCCGTTGATGCTGCCACTTGGCCAATCCATCTCGTTGGGGGACTTCCTCTTTTTCTCTGACCTTCCAGCTTACCAAACATGATATCCTTTT